TACAAATTTCACTAAATAACCAGAGGTAATTAAATAGCCTTGTAGAAGATGTGATGTTCTGTATTTAGAGATTGTAACTGTGAACGCTGATTTGAATTAAGATTCCTTTAAACTGAGACAGTTCGGATTGAATTCGTCAAAGCCTAGACTGAGACTGACCTTTTCAGGTGACAAGAACCCCCGCGCGAGCTTCTTATCACTTGCTAATTAAGAGGGGGAAAATTCTTTCCCATGTGAAATCAAAGCTAAAATCGATATTTATTTATGGTGACGGCCTGTGCCATCGCCTGTTATCGCTGTCTGAATACTTGTGGATTAAATTTCAAGTCTTATTAAATAGCTAATGTTTTTAACGTTTATTTTAGACTATTAATTTAAGTTTAAATTTGTAAAAATATCTACTCGTAACATATGCAAAGCATGCTTACAAAGAATTAAGCAAAAAAAGTATTAAATATTTAGTTTTGTTATTTTAGTATTGTAGATTTTCGTAATGCACTTGGATAAGATAGCAGCTACCACCATAATGGACACGTATCTGTTTGAAATCAAATATGTTTCTGCAATGATAACCATTGTTATCATCTCATAACGGTTAGCTTTCTAAAACTAATTAGAAGCATATCCATCGCGGGTTGTGCTGTATGGGCACTGGTGAAAAGCTGTAGGGTGGTTTTGTGAAATTTGGAACTGCCAGTCCAGATATCATTGGTGTATGGATTTTTATCAGATTTGTCAAACTAATTGCAGATACCGCCATACACGGTTATGCGCTGCACTCAGTATATGGATGGAGCTTATTTTTGTGGATGCAGTAGATTAGTAATGCACTTGACGTTCATTACAATTTTTGTAGAGGCATTTGTAATGCATTTGACGTGCATTACAATTTTTATGGATACATTTGATTTTTTTGGAATTATCCACAATGGAGAGTTGTATAGGGAGTCAGAAGGAGGGGTTATGTCATTTTCTAGGAGGGTTTTCACTTGTTTATTTACTTCCTCCTTGTGGATCGGTTGGAGCGATATTGCTTGGTATTGATAGGATGTTCGTCTGTGGTGGTACTGTGTTGTATACGGTTCGTGAAACCGAGTTTATCGCTGGGAATTTAGAAAAGGTCATATCATTACTGTTATTTTGGTTAATCTGTATTCATTGATTTTACCAGTGGAGAACTTCAGGAGAAAATGCTTCTTGTTTTGGTGAAGTTTGAGGGAAAGGTTTTTAGGGAATTAGCCCCACGTGTTGTGCATCTCTTAAGACGGTTCGCCACTCCGCGAAGGCTTGATCGAGCAGACTCCGGGCTGCTCTCCGGGCTGCTTGGCGCGCCTGGTTCGACGATTCCGCAAGGTGGCTTGCTGGAGTCATGCAGTGAAAGACAACACTTTACGCAGCTGAATTAATTCCACTTTAATTATTTAATTACACTTTGGGCTCAGTATCAACGTAGGGCCTGAGTCTGAAGAGTTATTTCAAGTCGAAAATGTCCTCTACGTTGTATATCTCGCAAGATACAATAAGACGTACATTACAATTTTTGTGGATGCACTTGACGGCATTTGTAGTTCTTGTTTCGGGATATGATTAAACAATATCGTTTGACAAAGTTTAAATCTTAACGAGCGACACTGAATAATTCACTAGAAATATTTTTAGCAATGCCATGCGTTTAATAATGCAAAGTATGCTCAAAAAGAATTAAGCAAAAAAAGTATTAAATACTTAGTTTTGTTATTTTAGTATTGTAGATTTTCACTTATGAAAATAAATCGTGCCGCACGGCTGACGGTGGCCGGCGCGGCGGGGGTCTCCCCTCTTTTCTTCTCCCCACCAATGATTGAACAAGGACAAGAGAAGTGCGGGGTGTAGCCCTCTCACTTTAGCTTCTGCCCCACCGAGAACAATAGGACGCGCAGTCTATCTTATAAGTCTATGGTAGTTACGCTTGTTGGTGCGGTTGGTTCGACATCAATTTTTATATTAAAAATAATAATAAGTACTTGTGCAAATGTTTTTAACATATTTAATATAATTTTTGTGTAGTACGTTATTGAAATATTGAAAACATAAAATTAATGATACAAAGACATTTAGTATAAGTATACAAGTGTAAGACTATATAATTTTTTCTAAAATTATGCTACAATATTTTCATAAACATTTTATTTTATCCTTTTAAAATATATGAAATTGATACCTTATACAAAAATAATGTGTTTGTAAGACCGATATCAACAAAGATTTATTATAACTTACTGCTGGTATTGAAGATGTCGGTGTTCCATATACTTCTTCTGATACACTGACAGGAATACTGATAGGTATATCAATGCTTGCAGGTACGTTAATACTTATTTCCGAGCTTATTTCACTTTCTTCACGCTCATATGCTTCAATGCTTGCTTTATTTTGTACAGCTATGGAACTGACGTCAGGCGATGTATTTGTTTTACATGGTCGATAAATCTGAAAAAAATATTATAATATTTCTTGTACTATAAAGACAATTTGATTGAATTATTACACTTGCAACCACATGAATATTTACCGAAGGTACTGCTGTTTTCTTCAATGTTCGCCTACTCGTGCAATAATTTTGAAAATCGCTGTCTGCAAAATCTAGGAAGGTTTTCACTTATTTATTTACTTGCTCCTTGTGGATCGGTTGGAGCGATATTGCTTGGTATTGATAGGATGTTTGTCTGTGGTGGTAATTCTGTGTAACTACAATGAATATTATTTTGGCAGACGGGCGTCTCCCCGAACATGTATGGAAAAGTATATAAAGCTATTGATTACTTTATGTAATAAGCAAATAGATACTCGAGGGATTATATTTCAATGAATAACCGTGTCATTAGTATATGGATCAGGTATAAGGGGAAGGTCACTCCACGTATTACTTTTTAAAAATGTTTATTCTCGACGTGACTTGTATAATACACAAGAAATAATTTATACGAACTCGGTCGCGTGAATGATTATCGATATATGAGAAGACTCGGCTTCTCATCGTCTCGCGAAGGACTCGGCCTCACGACTCTATGAGAGGACTCGGCCTCGTGTCGTCTCGCGGAGGACTCGGCTTTACGGTAACTTTCGAGAACTCGGTTAACGTTTTCTTATGCGTACGCTTCGCTACGAAAATCGTGTCTGTCTAAGCCCATCGGGGCTGTCCCTTATATAGGAAAACTCTCGGTGAGCATGGGCCAATCATGAGTCATGCGAGACACATGGTTGGTCCTACCGCTTTCTCTTGTTTTTTTTTGTGTTTAAATAAACACGTCGAACGAGACGTCGGTCGCGACGTCGAGCGATACGTCCGGCGCCGAACTCGGCTATAAATCTATTTATTCAAAAGATTTTTTTCTTTATGGTTTGTCCACCGTAATCGCTTACCGCTTCGCTCGGCGACGCGGAATGCATCGAACTGCGTAGTGGGCCCACTAATATATATATATGCGCAACAAATATACATGCACGCAACAGTATATTATAAGTCATAATCAAGATGTGTCCGACTCATAGATATAAATATAAGCCACATAAACTCCTCGGCAATTTGTTTGAAAACTGTTAGAGTATTGTGTTGTAGAAAACATCGATTGAATCATTGTTTCAACTGTTTTCATTCCAAATTTTGCCATTGTTCGTCCAGAATGTACTTCAAGATTGAAGTCACTTTCGTCTGCATTATAAATTTCTTCACCTCCGATAGCTGGGATGTTAGACTTTACATTTGAAACAAACATTTTTGCGACATCTTGTAGTATTGTCAATATCTTCTAGTGTAAATTGCGTCCTGAATGTTGTTATCTTACGGGAAATAATTTTGTATACATTCTTAGATTTTCAAATCATTTACTAAATATCTTGAATTTGGATCTACTTGGTCCTTTATCTTTTTATCCAAGACCCAAAATTTTAAATTCATGTCATGAATAATAGATCTTTTATCACAAGCTTCTTGAAGCTTTTGCAGAACATATTCCGTAATAAATGCAAATTTATCTGCATTTGTTCCACTTTTCTTTATATTGGTTTGGGATCAATAAGACGTTGTTTTGTGATGTTGTATACAGTGTAAAAATTGTAAAAACTCACTGCTTTAAAAGGTTGTTGTACCTTTCGGTGCAACAAGGAATATTTTTTGGGGGATCGGTCTGCCTTAAGGGTAGGAACCACGAGGATACGCGGAGTAGAAGTAGAGACACAATCGCGTGACACTGTTTCACAGTAATTA